CCAGCCTTTTAAAAATTTTTTATTTTAAGACAGGATTTTATTAAGTTGCATAAGGCCTTGCTAAGTTTCTGAGGCTGGCCTTGAACTTGTAATTCTCCTTCCTTGGCCTCCCAAGTTGCTAGTATAATAGGCATGTGCCATGCACCCAGCTCAGATTTATTTTTGTTTATTAATTATTTATCAAAATTTGTAATGTGTGTGTGTGTATATATATATATATATATATATATATATATATATATTGTTATGTGTGACTATAAAAATGATATTGGTAACTTAATTCAGAAGGAAAAAGAGAGTACTATTTAGAGATATATGATTCCAGGAAAATAAGAAAAAAAATTTAAATCTCAAGTAATACATTTGCATTTTTGTAGAAAAATATAATAGATGATCAATAAATGATTTTGTAAGCTTAGCAAAATATTATCAGGACAAAATTCTGTTGAGAATGGAAATGCAAGTTTGAGGAGAAAAAGGAACAATGTAAAATTTCTAATATTATAGAACAGTTTGTTTTTATATTTCTAAGATACTTGATAAAGGATATCAAACTTCCATAGTATTTTTAAGAATCTAATGAATAAATTTAAAAGGGTTATTAAATGGGTTTATTTGAAAACATGAATATTTATGATATCTCAGAAACTCTTTTATAATTTTTAAAATGATAGCTTTATTAAGATATAATTTATATAAGATAATGTTCACCATTTTAAAGTATAGAGTTTAGTAATTTTTAGTGTATTCACAGAACTGAGCAACTATCACCACCATCCAATTACTTTCATCAAGTCAGACTGATGCACAAGGTACCAGATGCCCCATGTCCTGGTCCATGCCAACTGGCACCATCTTTTTCCTCCTCCACTTCCTTTTCTTCCTCCACTTTCACCACCTCCTCCTGTTACCGGTAGCCAATCCAGGGACTCTCTAGATTTGCCTCTGGATTTTCCAGGACCTGGTCCATTGCCTGGGCAAGGAGAAGGGATGAATGAAGATAGGTTTCTAGAGGCAGCATCACAAACAAGTGGCTGCCAGGCCCCAAAGTCTGTACTTTGCCTTCAGAGCATCTATGATTTTTGAAAGTTCTATGACCTGGGTGTTTTGAGGGGTTATTGCTAAGAACCCTGCCCACCATTAGACCCTGGCTAGGGCAGTCCTACTCATCCTCACTAGTACAGTCTGTTCACAGAGCTATACAATTGTGTTTTGAGTTGTGCCAGGGCACATCTCCTTCCCACAAAAAGTCTGTATCCCTGCAAAACTAGTGCTGATCTGGACCAGGAAGTCTCCCCAGCCAGACCCAAAGGTTTGCTAGCTCCTTCAGGTTACCATGCATATCACCTGCACCTTAGCCCACATCTCCCTTCAGTAGTTCCCAAGGTCAGTGTTGCCTTTCAGCTACAGTGTTGCCTTTCAACACTACTTTGTCTCCTCTCACCATGATCAATCCTAGGTCCTTAAGTCCCTTATTTAGTGGAGAATTCTCAACAAAACCCTCAGAGCCTATTGTCCTAAGAGGCTCTGGGTCCTGCCTTCACACTCTAGTATGTCTGATTTTCCAGTTAATCACAATTATTCCCACTGCACAGAAATGATGTCTTATTGCTAATGTCTGCTATGAGCTCAGACTTGGCATTACATGGAACGGGGAGTTGGAACAGAGACTTTGAGATTAAAAGTTCTGAATAGTTTTAGCTCCGGATTTGCCTCATGCTGAGAATGGAAACAAAAAACTACCTACTGGCCTGTGTGTGCATCAAGAGAGCTAAAACAGACCTGTTCTCTGGCTGGCACAGCCTAGCTAACTCCATGTATGTATATCTCCTGGCTCTTGTTTTTGTAAATCCTAACCAATTCTATAGGACTGGTAGAGAAACCATCTAACTGCTTCCCCCAGTTTGCTCAAACTGCATAAAATTCATTTTTCTTTTTTACATCATTTGTTTATTTCTTATGCCAAATTCAGCCAGCTGGGATCCAGGCAGAGTCCCTGGATTGGCTACTGGTAACAGGAGGAGGTGGTGAAAGTGGAGGAAGAAAAGGAAGTGGAGGAGGAAAAAGATGAGGAGAAAACGAGTGATCTGTAAACAGAACCTGAGAAGATGGGAGGTTCATGCTTCCTCTCTGGGGACCTCTTGTCAGCCAGCAGCAGGTCTCCCAGGCTTAGAAGCAATTGTCTATCCTCACTCTACTTGGGCTCTGACATCTGCTTCTCCTGCTTGGGGCACTCTAGGCTCCATCTGGTCATTCTACAGTTTCCAAAATTCTGGTGCCTACATATTATGGGGAACATGGAGTGACCTGCGAAGTCTGAATCCAAATAGAAGTCATCTGGGGAAACCTGGGGTACTTCTGTGACTCTGCATGACCCTGCTGCATGCAGGGACTGTGGCACTGGGAATCATTCATTGCTCTAGCATGACTGTTCATGGGCCTGGTAAGGAGTGGATTAAAGATAACAGGATGGTGCTAGATACTGGGGGTGGAATGAATGAGAGACAGGTCCTGCTCTCAAGGAGGCCCCAGAAAAGCAAGTGAGTGATGATTACCCCACCCAGGGATGGGGCACAACTTCTCCCTCTTTCCTAGGACCCAGGATTCCTCTCCTTTGTAAAGCACAGGCTCTGGTCACATAGACAAAAATCACAGTTTCTTTCTGACTCCAATATCATACCTGAATGTACCCTGTAGGCAGAAATCTTCCTGAAAACTACCTTGTCTCCACAATTTGCTGACCACGTGCCCTGTGGCTCTTCCTCTGAGTGTCCCTGCCAAGTACAAGTCCAGCACTCTGCTGCTCTGCTCAGATGGAAGTGGTAAGTTCATGTTCTGAGATGTCCTATGTTCTCAGATCCTCATCACTGATAAGTCTTAATTCCCTTAGACATCAGGCACCAGCCCCATTCCCTAGCTCCTCACTCTCCAAGCAGCCTATGGACACCCTCTTCACCTGTGGATACCCTCTATTCCTTCTGCTCCCTCTCAGTGTCCTCCCTGTAAGTCCCTTCCAGGCCTTGGCCCAGACACTTCTTCCTGTTGAGCATCTCCTCACTACTGTTCCTTAAGCCCCTACCCAGTCAAATGCCTGCCACAGTCTCCACAGAACCACTGCATTCCTGCTGCCCATTAGCATGACCCCCCTCCCCCAACTCCAGCACCCAAATCAGAGACCAGAAGCTTGTCCTTTATGTCAGCCAAACTAATGAATGATCAGTTCATTCTGATTCTGGCCCTGTGTCCTGAATCTCTAGATAAACATCTGTCCTCCCTCCATCTTCACCCCTTCCCAATGCCACTGCCCTCTGGAGTTACACAGTCCTATGTTTGCATTCTATCTTTGCTACATCCTAGCAGAGTGACCTTAGCAAAACTACCTCCCCAGGCTTCACTTTCATGGACTATAAAACAGGTTCATTAACAGTGTCTACCTTATAAGGTTGACACTTAAATGAAATGGTATAAGTAGGTAAATTGCTTAGCATTGTACATGGCTTAAAGTAAGTGCTCAGTTATCATGCTAAGTGAAATAAGCCAATTCCCCCCGAAACCAAATGACAAATGTTCTCTCTGATAGGTGGATGCTAATACACAGTAAGAGATGGTAGGGGAGAATAGARGTTCGTTGGATTAGACAAAAAGGAATGAAGGGATAGGAGGGGGGATGGGAATAGGAAAACCAGAATGAATCAGACGTAACTTTCCTATAGTCATATATGAATATACGACCAGTGTAACTCCACACCATGTACAACCACAAAAATGGGATTATAATTAGAAAATACCCCATATATGTATAATATATCAAAATATACTCTACTGTCATGTATATCTAAAAAGAACAAGTAAAAATAAAATAAGATAAAATGCAAAAAAGCAAGTCCTCAGCAAATGTTAGCTACTGATATTATTGTTTGTGTTGTGTTACTACTATTATCATTACTTGGACCAGCATCTGGCCAGTTTAGAAGCCTTCTATCTTGTTACTTATACAGGGTGAGGGAACTTCCTTCCTGGACTGGGAACAGGAAGTAAGGGTCCACAGTGGCTGCAGCATCATCTGTGGATACTGTGGGAACACTTGTCCCTTGAAAGAAGTTGGTGATTGGCAAAACAGCCTCATCATAATCAGGCATGGACACTGCTATGGGGACACCCTGCACCCCAAAGTAACAGTTCCCAAGGCTTAGGAGAGATGTGGTATTCTAGGGTCAGAGGGTCCTTAATTCAATATCCAGATTTTAGGATGGCAAAACTGACTTCCTATGAGGCCAAGAGCCTTGCTTATGGCCAATTTCACATAACAAGGATTTATCTGGCTATTCTGTATCTAGCCCTGTGCTGGCACTAGACATACTGCCAGGCAGATAAAGAGCTTGGATTCAAATCCAGGTTTCCACTAAACCACACTGCCTACAGACTGAGGAGCAGCCCTCTAAAAATAACACATTTCCATGTGCTACCAAGAGAGAGATAATCAGAATTCTGTATTATCTATAAATCATCACAATAAATTCTTTCAAATAGAAGCTGGGATGTGAAATACCAAGTTGAACTCTTAGGAACATTCTTTTTGAATGCTGAGGTAGACAGGAAAGAGACTGGAAAACATTTAACACACATGCTATTGAGAACATGTTTTTCCAAGCCTGTGTTTGCCTTTTGAACACATAAACACAAACTGGTCTGTATGCTTAGTTTCAAAGCAGGAGTTTTGCAACACAGCCCACAATTAATACATATATTTTTTTTCTCAAAATCTATACTCTTGCACCTTCTTACCAGAATCAAAATTTGGGAAGAAAGGAACGTTGATGATACATTGTCATTTAAAAAGTATGAAATGAAGACTTAGAAAGTAAAGCAATACATCACATTTGGGCAGATTGCCACATCTCTGTGCTATAGTGTCAGTTAAAATTTTTTTCTTAAGTTGTATATGAGAGGTATGTCTCTGTGTTTTAATTTAAAAAGTCTTCCAACAATATTTTTTTAACCTTTTGTGGGTTATGGGCTTGTCTGAGAATCTTCTGAAACCTGCGAATCCATAAAGACACATTTTTGTATATAATTATTGAAGCTCATTCATGTAGCCCCTAGCAATTCTTGAGCTACAGGTAAAGAAAACTGGCTATGAAGCATTAGCTGTACAGTAATGCAAACTGGTTCAGATTAGCTTTTCAGGTACAGCACTAACCTGAAAACACTCTGTGGGAGGAGGTTCTCTGCACCCACAAGAAGCAACTACAATTCTATTTTTCAGTATTTGAATCAAAGAATGAAATTATGAATTGCCAGCATTCACATGCAAATTAAAATTAAAAAAGTATTTATCAACCCAATAGTATAGTATAGTCAGATAATATCAATATCAAACCATCTAGCAAATAGGCCCTGCATTAAAAACATGCTAAAGACATTCCACGAATCATCAGCTTCTCCCTACTCATAACAGCTTTTCAAACTTGGTACCAACTCCATATTCAGTAAGTGCAAATTTCTGCTACAAGAAGTCACAGAAACATTTGCACTGTTAGGTGTAATTTAAACATCTGTGATTTGCCATGATATCCCTTTCCATCTAAAGGAAAGATATTGTACTAACAGTGGCATTTAGTTGAGAGTTTCTAATGATACGGTTTGCGTTAGAATAATATGACTACCCCAAAACTTGCCTGCTAATTTAAGGGTCCATAAATCCTTCTCTTAATTCAGAGGATCTGGATTTCTGCTAGAAAATCGATTCCATGTTCAGCAGGCTTTCTTTCCTGATGACCTCTGCATGCCCTGCAGGCTACCTCTACCAGGATTCTGCAAGTGGGACACCAGAGCTGGATGGTAACATGAACTGGCTCTGGCTGCAAATAGCAACAGGCCTGCTGGGAGTGAAAGTCCAAATATAGACCTGCCACTTCTTACTGCTCAAGTGTCATCAGGAGGGGTCACATGCTGTGCTCTGGGTTACTTCATCTACTGTGGGCATTTGAGACCTGTGACTCAGATGGCTGGCCACATGTAGAGGGGTGGGGCTGTCACTGCAAGACCAGGAAGGGTCTGGCAGCCCTTGGGCTGTATTGTATGCCTTTTTCCTGTGCTTTCCCAGAGTGTTCTGAACAAGCACAAACTGGAGGTAATCAAATGCAGTTTATTTTATTTTTATTTTTCTCTGATCATTCCTTTAAAGTGTGTTCAAAGTGGGGATTATTCCTCTCTCTGGATGAAAATCTAGAAGAAGCTATGATCTTCTGTTCCCTTTTAGTTAACACACAGTCTTATGGTCACTTGAAGCCATAGTGTCAATTCAGTAATGGAATATCCAATTCAATATATGAACCAAAAAGCCAAACCTGCTTTGTTAGCCAGTATCAAAATCTCCCCTCTCCAGCTTGGGCCTCTTTTTTTTTTTTTTTTTTTTTTGTAAAGAGAGAGAGAGAGAGAGAGAGAGAGAGAGAGAGAGAGAGAGAGATTTCTTTATTTATTTTTTTAGTTTTCGGCAGACACAACATCTTTGTTTGTATGTGGTGCTAAGGATCCAACCTGGGCCGCAGGCATGCCAGGTGAGCACTCTACCGCTTGAGCCACATCCCCAGCCCCAGCTAGGGCCTCTTTAGCAGGAAACCTCTCTGAGGAGAGACAGAGTGAGGTGGACCTCTCCTTCCACATTCCTCCCTGAGCTGCTGAATGTGGGTTCCATTTGAATAAATGCCACAATAGGTGCTAACTTTGGGTTTCTGGGGTCTGGGAGATGCTTAGACCTGAATCTCTTATGGGGATCTTTTATACATCTTGAGAGATCCCCTTCATAGAGACCCCTCTCCTTAATTCCCATCACGAGCTGACAGCTCCTCTCTTCCTGGCAATCTTTTTTTATTTCTCCTCAGGGATCTGGAGGACCACTAGCAGGATCTCTCAGCTGAGGTCTCCTTCTCCAGGTAGGTAGCTCTTTTGGGCAGGATCTAGGTTACTTTTCCTGTTGGCCCACATTTGGATCTAAGACAAAAGTCCCCATCCATGGTCCTGTCAAACTCTGGGATGCAGGTGACTCCAATGCGGTCAGTCCCACTGGCTCTGTTACCAAAGCAGCCAAACCTCTCATTCCAGGCATCATGGGTCCAAATGCAGGAAACATATCAAGCTCTCTAAAGGGTCCCTTTGAGGACCCCCTCATGGGGCTTCAGGCTAGAGGATGGCATGGCAAATCTTCCCCAGCCTGAGCAGTTTCCTCCAGTGAAACTCCTCTAGCACTTTTAATCTCAAATAGCCTCTTTTCTCTACTTGACTCCTATTTATTTCTTCAATTAACTGAGAGGTCTCAGAAGCATGAATCAGGTTCTGGTCAATTTCCTTTGAAAGACTGTATATGGTGATCTGATTTTGAATTTTCATATTTATATGTATTGTTTTGAGAGTATTTTAATACATTACTGCATGTATTTGTAAAATAAAAATATTAGAAGCAAAATATCAAAAGAAAAATTAAGAGAAAATTATGCAAAGATGGATGTGCAAGAATAGAGACCACAGCATTTTGTTTCTTTGTTTGTATGTGGTGCTGAGGATCAAACCTGGGCCACACGCATGCCAGGTGAGCGCGCTACCGCTTGAGCCACATGCCCAGCCAGCATTTTGTTTCTTTTTATTTTTTTTAAATGGTCCTGGGGATTGAACCCAGGGCCATAAACATGCTAAGCATGTACTGTACCACTGAGCTACATCCTCAGCCCAACATAGCATTGTTTATATGTGCAGAAAATGGAAATTAACCTATGTTTACCATTAGAGTATTCATTAATTATAAAATGGTCAACCCAATATTTTCAAGTATAAAAAATAATGATGTAGATACTTATTCTAGTTTTGTTTTTGATGCTGGGGATTGAACCTAAGGTCTTGTGCATGCTAAGCACACACTCTACCACCAAGTTATACCCCAAACTCTATACCTATTTTTTTAAATATGGCAAATGTCCACGATATATTTGTAACTGGAAAAAAACATGTAGACTATCATTTGGTTTAGTACTACAGATGCATACATACATACATACATACATACATACATACATATAATAGTCAAGGTTCTTTAGAGAAACAACCAACAGGATGTTTACATCTATGGAAAAAGAGTTATCATAAAAAATTGGCTCACAGGTTAAAGTAGCACATACCTGTAATCCCAATGACTCAGAAGGCTGAAGCAAAAGGATCCCAAGTTTGAGGACAGCCTGGGAAACTTAGTGAGATTGTCTTAAAATAAAAAGTAAAAATGGCCAGAGATGTAACTCAGTGACAGGGTGCCCTAGGTTTGAGCCTCAGTAATACATACTTCTTCTTTTTTTCTTTTTTTTTTTTTTTTGGTGTTAGTTGGATACTTATTTATTTATTTTTATGTGGTGCTGAGGATTGAACCCAGTGCCTCGCATGTAGTAGACAAGTGCTCTACCACTGAGCCCCAATCCCAGCCCCCCTCCCAACCACTTCTCATTAATGGAGTCCCACAATCTGAAATTGGTAAGCTGAAGACCCAGAAAGTAGGTAGCATCTGCAGTCTGGTATTTCTAGTCTGAAGGCTGAAGCTCAAGATTTAGAAAGAGAAGATGTTTCAGTTTGAGTCTCAAGGCAGGACAAAATCTGGAAGCATCAGACAGGAGGAATTCCCATTTAGCATTTTTGAGGTTACCAGACCTTTAATTGGAAGAAGCTTACCCACATTTGGCAGGGACATGTGATTTACTCAGTCTCCAGATTCAAATATTAATTTCATCCCCAAACACTTTCATAGACATCCGGAATAAACTTTGACCAAATATCTGGACACCCCTGTGACCCAGACAAGTGAACAAACAAAAATCAACTGTCTTACATGTATACACATATGCTATTAAATGTTTATGTCTCCCAAAAACTAATATGTTGAGCCAGGTTGCTGGCTCATGCCTGTAATCCCAGAGGCTCGGGAAGCTGAGGTAGGAGAATCACAAGTTCAAAGTCAGTCTCAGCAGTTTAGTGAGATCTTAAGCAACTTAGGGAGACCCTGTATCAAAATAAAAAATAAAAAGGGCTGGGGATGTGGCTCAATGGTTAAGTGCCCCTGGGTTCAATACCCAGTACCTAAACAAACAAAAACCTAATATGTTGATATTTAATCCTCAACTGAGATGGTATTTGGAAGTGCGGCCTTGGAAGGTGATTAGGTCATGAAGGTGAAAATTTCACAAACAGGATTAGTGCCCTTATGAAGACAGTGCCAAAGGGCTCCCTTGCCCCTTATAACTATGAATCAGGAAGTAGGCCCTCACTATACACCAAATTTGTGGTGATTTGATCTTAGACTTCTCATTTTTCAAAACTGTGAGAAATAAATGTCTATTGTTTATCAGTGACTCCATCTATGGTATCCTGTTATAGCAACCCAAATGGATAAGACAAAACACATGCGCCCACGCACATACACACACACACACACACACACACACACACACACACACACACAAAATGGGAGCAGTTTTTCTTTTGGGTTACTTTATCTTCTTATTTATACCTTTTCTAGTGTCTACTTATAATGGTCACATACATCTTAGGCTTTAAAATATCAACTCTTTATTATAATAGTAACATGTTATTTGGCTTAAACAAAAAAATCAATACTATAAAAGAACTCTAAAGGCAAATATAAACCAGTCATGCATCTTGGTAACACTACTATTAGGTTTGGTATATATTTTTTCTACACTTCTTTTCTTTTTTTAAAGAGAGAGAGAGAGAAAATTTTAATATTTATTTTTTAGTTTTCCGCGGACACTGCACTCATGCCAGGAGAGCGCGCTACAGCTTGAGCCACATCCCCAGCCCCTCTACACTTCTTTTCTAAAAATAAACAAATGTATTCCTGTTGAGAGCCACAGCCAGAATGGCCTCTGGCATTTTGCCAGAAGGAATTGTTGAAAGGTGCCACCAGCGAGCCATTAAGATGATGATAATTAAGTTAAGCTGTGTATAATTGCTGTGACTGGATGATGCTGGATTGAAACAGGCTGTGTATTCAGTTGTATATAGACCCCTGCCTCGGGTGCCCACTACTTTTGAGTGCTTGCGGAGTTCCCCTTGAGTTCATGTTGAGCTCTAGCGGGATTCCTGGAGAGTTTACGTTGGTTGGAGAAGTTCAGGTGAAGGGAGTTCCAGTTGGTGTGGTGTTCCTGGAACAGCCGCAGTGGGTGGCGTTTGGGGGAGTTCCGGCAATAAAGGAGTTCCTATTTGAACCTACAAGTGCCTCATGGCGGCTTGGTTTTTTTGTGCCCAGCCAGACTGCAGCATATTCCCTTCTCACAAACTAGCAATTACTTTTATAACTAGAAAGACTCATAGCTTCATTTTGAAAAAAACAAATAAATTAGGAAACTACTAGAAGAGATAAGATATTATAAAATACAGTGTAAGGGTCCGGCGAAGCGTCGGAGACCACCAAGAGACCACTCATGCAATTGGCAGAAGGGGATTTATTGGGGATCCATTCCAGCGCGCTGGGGCTCCCGGCCCACTCAAGAAGGGAGGGCAGCCAAGGAGCCCCGGGCAGGGGTTGAGCAGTGCTTAAGTACACTTTTTGGGGAGGGTGGGGACTTTACACACATCATAGTCTCCTTTAACAAATCATCATACACTGCGGGAAAATCAAACAACAATTCTTAGACTTGATTAGTACATTCATTGGCGGGAACAGGTTGGGCGGGGGTGATTGGTCACTCCTAAGCGGGGTACACATTCAAACTCATTGGTTTTGGGCCCTGGATGCCTACGTACCAGGCTACACAGGATCCTAAGTTATTAAACAACTAAATGGCCAGTAGGGCRTTGTCTTAACTGCCTCAGGAATTTAACCCAGGCTTTGCAGTTTAGAAGCAGGTTTACAATGCCTGGTCCTTTACATTTTAACTCAGGCTTTGCAGCTTAGAAACTTTACCCTTTCAACAGCTCAGAGATAGAGCACTTGCTGAGCATGTATCAGGCCGTGGATTAAATCCCCAGCACTACAAAAAGAAAAAAGTAAACAGATCATATTAACTAAAACAATATATTAGAAGTAGTTTTGGGGGAAATAGATCACTTCAACTAAAAGATTATCTCTAAAGAGGACTAGGTGAGTGTGAGAGCAAGGCCCATTGCCTCCAGGCTTTGAAGGATATTTTCCTTCAAACARAGGCAGCTTTCCATCTTCAAGTTGCCTGCTACACATTGTGGAGATCAATTTCAGGATGCAGAGATGCCCTAATCATAGGTCAAACTTGGCTCTGTTTTTTTCGTTTGTTGTTCTGCTGCTGCTGTTTAACCTTGGGAACAACAGCAAGGGCAAATCTAGGCTTTCCCAGCTCAAAACTTTCAAATGCTCCTTCATTTGTTCTAGAGTAGCAATCTTTCCAGGCCTTGTTTTGGCCAGGGGCTCCTGGTCCCAGCTCCCTGAACATTCCCTCCCCGCCCTGCCTCCTCTACCCCTTTCAGTGCACTTATAGATGGACACTGCCATGTACTGTACTAGCTAGAGACTATTGGTGTCCTGTTCTCTGCAGCGTAAACACATCCAGCTCTGCCCCCCACCCATCTCTACATGTAAATGGCATTCCTGATACCTCCTTAAACCGGCCATCAGTGGCCAGGTGACCTTGTTTAGCCCCAGTTTATTCTGTATCTTAAGACAAGTTCATTTTCTAGGTCTGTTTCCTTACCTCTAAAATGAAGAGTTAGAACTTATATTGTTTAAACGCTGCTTTGAAGGCAGAAATGTCTTCTTGTACCTCCCCCACCAAACCTCCCCCCAATACTAGTACACACCTGGCAAAATCTTACTGAACTGACAAAAATAAATTTTTTGGTTTCTACCTAGTGCTTGGCATCTAGGCTCAATAAATAACTACTGATTTTAATTGAATGTTTGGGCACCCCACCACATTTGTGCCCATATTCCAAAAGGACTTGATGACAGAAGACGGAAGCAACAGTGTCTCTGTCTTCAGGAAGTTTGAGTTTTGGTGTAGGAGGCAGACCTAGCTCGTCCATTTAACAAATATTTCCCCAACTCCAGTTAAGTGCAAAGGTGGAAAGTGAGGCAAGAGTATTTCCCAGGCTCCAGACCAGATTGCGAGATTGATTTCTGTCCGCCAGGGTCACAGGCAGATGTTTTGACCTTCTCATTGGTTGTCGCAGACCCTCCCTTATGTCAGCTAACCAATCCTGGACGCCCAGCCAATCAGTTGCGGGCTGGGGGTGGGACGCAGAGCTGGACGCTGCGCGGATTAGAGCCTAGTGGAGGATGTCCCGGCCTGGACGGTCCCGTGGTAGGAGGAGCACCGATGCCCGGCCCAGGCGAGCAGCGCTCACGGGACGCTGACCGTCGGGGCCATGGAGGACGAGCAGCCCGACAGCCTGGAGGGCTGGGTGCCACTCCGCGAGGATCTCTTCAGCTCACCCGAACGGCACCAGTTGCGCTTCCTGGTGGCCTGGAACGACGCGGAGGGCCAGTTCGCTGTGACTTGTCACGACCGCACGGCGCAGCGGCGGCGGCGGCGTGAAGGGTCCGCCCCGGAGCCTGCCGGGGCCGCGCCCAGTTGGGCTGGCCTGCTCTCGGCCGCGGGGTTCCGCGGCGCRCACCGGCAGCTGGCGGCGCTGTGGCCGCCCCTGGAACGCAGCTTCCCACAGCTACCGCCCSAGCTGGACGTGGCTGGCTGCGGGGCCGGGGACCGCGGGCGCGGGCTGTGGGCGCTAGTGTGGCCGGTGCGCGTTGGCCTCGGAGAGACGGCGCTACAGGAGCTCTGCGGGCAACTGGAGCGCTATCTGGCCGAAGCGGCCGACGGCTGCGGCGGTGTCACCGTGCGCGACGCGCTCTTCCCCGCGGACAGCGGCGCGGCTGACTGCGAGAGCCCGCACGAGCTCCGGGAGCGGGCCTTGCGCGCGCGGCGGGCCGAGGCGGGAGCGCGGCTGCACCAGGTATGCGCGGCGTCCGCTCCGCCGGTCGTCGTTGGCTGCGCGGGACCTTTTAGAGGATTTGCCGGCTCCGGGGGACGCAAAGACTACCCTCCGCGCGTGCCGAGAAAGGCGCAGGGTCACCCGCGCCTGTGTGGGGCAGCTGGGAGAAACTCGGAGGGACCGCGCATTAAGGCCTGGAGAGAGTTGGCTCATTCGGTTAGGTCAAAGTTTATTTTCAGTTAGGGCTAGGGCAGGCCCTTAACCTTTCTCCCGAAGATACTGGCAGAGCAGGATGTTGTAACCGGGAAAGCCCAGAAATACTGAAAGCAAAACTGAAAATAACCGGTCGCCGTGGCCGTCTATCCTTGGGAGGCTGAGGCAGGAGGATTGGGAGTTCAAAGCCAGCCTCGGCAATTTCTCGAGGCCCTAAGCAACTCAGTGAGACCCTGTCTCGAAATAAAATATTTTTTTTGAAAGGGCTGGGATGCGGCTCAGTGGTTAAGCGCCTCTGGATTCAATCCCKGGTACAAACCAAACACACACACCGGAAAATAATCCATAACCTGTAGGAAACAATAGCATGGACTAAATATAAGCAATTGTAGATTCTCTAGGGAACACCAAGAATAGAGACAAGATGTTTTAGAGGATGAATTTACTAAGGAAATAGGTATTTAGTTTTTTAAGTAATAAAGACGATTAAGTGGAAACCCCACAGGAAGTGCACTTTATTCATCAGTTTAGAATGATAACAACAGGAGTGCTTCCCCCCCAGGCAATTTGAGAGAAAAAATTATTTCAGTGAATAAAAAGATTAGGAGAAATTAGGACTTCAATAGCAACAGTTCATTTAAGGAAAGCCAAGGTTTGGTGCCCGTACTCTTACCTTTTCTCATTATTGGACATATTAACCTGAATGATTTTTCTGTAAATTGCTTTGAGGAAGGGAAAGTGTAAGAGAAGAATTCCAGCATATTGCAGAAATCTTAATTACTGTATATTCCTTAAAGCTAAATTTAGGATGAACTTTCAAAACTAAAATGGTTTTATAAATGGAGTTTAGTGGGATCATTTTATACTGTGGGTTTTATGTGTAGCTATCTACACACCTACTAAGCATGTGTTGATTTTACTCCTCCTGCCTTGTACTGGGGATTGAACTCAGGAGTACTGTACCATTGAACTATATTCCAGCCCTTTTAAATTATTTATTTATTTATTTWAAAAAAAAATCAGACAGGATCTTACCAAGTTGCTGAGGGTTTGTCTCACCGAATTGCCCAGGCTTATCTTAGCTGGGATTAGGAGTGTGGGCCACCAAACCCACCTTGATTCTGCATTGTAATATGAGGAAACCAGGGGGATTTCATGCCAGTCTGCTTTTAATCTTCAGCTTGATCATTTCATATCAAACAGACTTGTTTTTCAGACACTTGATTTCTCAGAARTGTTTTCTCCTTAAATTCCAGCATTTATGTATGATGTAGATATTATTATATCTACATAAAAGTTACACTTTTCCCGAATTGAAGTTTATTCAGGGATGTTATATAGTACTAGTGTAGTTCATACTGTTGAGCTAGGTGCTCACACTATTGTAATGCACCTGTTTACCTGGAACTTAAAAATAGGGTAGAGGGGTGAAAATTTAAAAACCTATCATGTCCATGGAAGTGTATGTAATCTTATTTAGAATAAAAAAGCAATTGATTCTAGAATTAAACCAGTTGATAATATTGCTAGTATCTACAAAATTTAGCTAAATGTTTGACTCTGGAATTTTTTCCTTAATAGCCTTAAGGAATAAGGCTGAAAATTTTCAGTTTTTAATCTTTGCATCTGTGTGTTTTAATCTTGGTGAGGGAAAAGTTTTTTAAATGTTACTATTGTTACCTGGATAAAACTACAGTTGAGATTAGGTCAGATTATTCTTAAGTAGAAAGATGGAAATTGAAGAATTTAAAAATGTGTTGGTTTAGCTGGGTGCGTTAGTGCATGCCTGTAATCCCAGCAGCTTGGGAGGCTGAGGCAGGAGGATTGCAAGTTTAAAGCCAGCCTCAGCAATCTAGCCGGGCCCTAAGTAACTTTGCAAGACCCTGTCTCAAAAATAAAAAATGGCTGGGGATATGGTTCAGTGGTCAAACAGAGCCCCTGGATTCAAAATATACTAAAAAAGAAAACAAACAAACAAAAGTATTGGTTGAGGGGCTGGGGTTGTGGCTCAGTGGTAAAGTGTTTGCCTAGCATGTAAGAGGCACTGGGTTCGATTCTCAGCACCACAAATAAATAAGTAAATAAAATAAAGGTCCATCAACAACATTAAAAAAATATAAATTGATTGAAAACAAATTTGTACCATTACTTGATTTTATTTTTTTCTCTTTTGGGGAAAAGATCATTTCCAAATGAGTTCACCTGGATTACAAATTGCTTGGTGCTCTGTATCAGAAACAGTGCTTAGCAGAGACTAGAGCCATAGTTGAGGCTCCCTGAATAAGTCTACTTTGTGGGTGGTTTCATGGAATATTTACTTTGGGGAATTAAGAGACTCAACTTGCTGAAGAAGTACTTGATGACGTCTCTAGAATGTCTTTATGAGCTTTGAAAAAAGGAGTATGATCTCACCAAACCTTTAATTAGAATAGTTAAATGAAAAAATATCCATAATATTGGTCTTGGAGATAAATGCTATTAACAGTTGATGCCCCTTTGGGTCCTTTTCTCTCTGTACTTGGTACATAGTGGAGTTAAAATTTTGTGCTTTGGGGGCTGGGATTGTAGCTCAGTGGTGGATCCTTTGCCTAGCACATGTGAGACACCAAGTTTGATCCTCAGCACCACATAAAAATAAATCATGGGGCTGGGGTTGTGGCTCAGCGGTAGAGTGCTTGCCTTGCATGTGTGAGGCACTGTGTTTGATCCTTAGCACCAAGTTAAAAAAATAAATAAACAAAATAAAGGTATTGTGTCAATCTACAACTAATTTTTTTTTTTTTTAATTTGTGCTTTGCTTTTCCCTCATTAAATATTACAAAATCCGGGCTGGGGCTGTGGCTCAGCGGTAGAGCACTTGCCTAGCATGTGTGAGGCACTGGGTTCAATCCTCAGCACCACATAAAAATAAATAAGCAAAATAGAGGCATTGTGTTATCTACTACTAAAAAATAATTACAAAATCCTCATATTATTAAGCAGTCTTAAAAAAACAGTGTTGAAAGACTACAGTAATAATATTCTGCTGTGGATATATAATAATTTATTTAACCACATTTGTCTTCTTGGGCATTTTGATTGGAAGACAATAACATTTTCATTTTTAATTAGCATTTAAAATTGATGTATTGCTGGGCATGGTGGCCCATGCCTGTGATCCCAACAGCTCGGGAGGCTGAGACAGGAGGATTGCAAGTTTGAGGCCAGCCTCGGCAACTTAGCAAGACCCTTTGCAACTTAGACACTTGAAATTGAGTGTCTGAAAATAAAAATAAAAATGGGCTGGGATGTGACTCAGTGGTGAAGCAACCCTGGGTTCAATTCCTAGTATATAAAAAAAAATGTAATCAAGTTGACAACATTAGCTTTCTTTAATTTTGTTTGGTATGATTTTATAAATAATGTGCAGATTTGAGCTTTATGTTTTGGCTTCTAGGTTCTTCAAGGACATGAAAAAGCCAACAACATGGTATCATTGATGAAAATTTATCAAGAGGAAGATGAAGCTTATCAGGAATTGGTTACTATGGCAACCATGTTCTTCCAGTATTTACTGCAGCCATTCAGGGACATGCGGGAAGTTGCAACTTTATGTAAGCTTGGTATTTTGGTATGTTTCCTTATATTTTTTTTTTATCAGATATCTATCTGTTGTATATTTTTTTTTAGTCACAATTAAGTTTCCATCTGTATTTTACTTTCTTTGGGTTCATCTTGTATTTAATGATATTATAGCTTTATTGAATTTATATTTAAAATTAATTTTAAAAATTGGGGCTGGGGATTTAGCTCAGAGGTTCTGGATTTGCTCTTCAGCACCAATTAAAAAAAAAAGGAAAAATATTGATTAAAAATGAAGGCATTCAATGGGAAAAAAACTCTAAATGAACAGACATAACTTTCCTATTTTTATATATGAATACACAACCAGTGTAATCCACATGATATACAACCACAAAAATGGGCAGTTATATTCCATGTATGTATGATATGTCAAAATACATTCTACTTTCATGTATAACTAAAAAGAATTTTTAAATTTTTTTTAAATGAAGACATTTACATTGGTTATCTTCTCAACACCTTAAAAACTATAAATTTTAAAGGGTTAAACACTTTTTCTGCTGATATATAGGCTTTATTTTAKTTTTTGAAGTGAAATGAAAAAGCTAGCCTGTTGCCCAGGTTATCTTTGAATTTTGGATCAAGTGATCCTCTTGCATAAGCCTCCTGAGTGGCTAGGGCTATAGTGTTTGCTACCGTGTCCTGCTTGATTTATTGATGTGATGTTTATTTACTTATTCAGCTTATTTTTCACCTCTAAGGACACCTGGTGATTTATTAGAAATAGTATGAAATTTAAGCAGCAGAGTCCTAGATTGTAATTCAGTAACTTAAACTTTATTAAGGCTGTCATCACTGATTTCACTTTTCCTAATTAGAAAAGATATTATTATTACTGTTGCATCCCAGAGGTGCAAATGAATCTAGAATCCAGAGGAAGTAAGTAGCTTGCCTTGGGTCTCAACAACTAGAATCAGAAGACATCAGAGAGTTTTCTTGATTTCTGCCCCCTGCACTGGGCYATCTTTCCACATGTACTCTCATGACCTCTGCCAGGTTTTTGTATTATAAAAATTGTATTTCATTTAGATGAAGCTCATGTCACTATAACTTGAAGATAAAGTTGTTCTGTTCATTATTTTGAAAGGCTGTTGTTTGGAGAGTCTTTACTGCCGTGTGTGTGTGTGTGTGTGTTTTAAGTAACAGGATTGTTGAGATATAATTCATAGACTGTACATGTAAAGTGTACAGTTCAGTGGTTTTTAGTGTATTCAGAGTTGTACAACCACCACTACTAATTCCAGAACATTTTTAACTCCCCCCAAACCATGTTTCTGCTAGCAGTCATTCCCATTTCACACCAACCTTAGACTATCACTAATCTACTTTTTGTCTCTGTGGATTTTTCTTTTCTAGACATTTCATGTAAGCAGAATCATGACTGGCTTGCTTTACCTGGCACAGTGTTCTCTTGGTTCACCTATACTGTAGCATGTCTCAGGACTTCATTTCTTTTATTGTGATTAATATTCATTAGAAGGATACACCACATTTTACTTATTCATTTAGCAGTTGATGGACATTTGGGTTGTTTCTATTTTTTTTGGCTATTATGAATAATGCTGCTATGAACATTTGTGTRCAAATTTCTGTGTGGACATATGCTTTTATTTCTTTTGTATATGTCCTGAGGAGTGGAATTGCTGGGACACATGGTCATTTAATGCCTAAACTTTTGAAGGACTGCTAGTCTGTTTTCTAAAGCAAGTATATTATTTTATATTCTGACCAGCATAAATGAGGGTTCCAGTGTGTTCACATTATCATCAACACTTGTTATTGATATTCTCATTGATTATAGCCATCCTAGTGGGTGTGAAGTGATTTCATTATAGTGTGTGTGTGTGTGTGCACGCGCGCGCTGGAGATCAAACTCAGGACATCACACATGTGGGGTAAGTGCTCCACACTGCGCTACCTCCCCAGCTCCCCCCTGTAGCTTTGATTTGCATTTCCCTGATGGTTATCCTATATATATGATATCAGTAAATAATGCTTTGTAGACAGAAAATTGAATGCTGGACATCTTAGTTCAGGCTATTGTAACAATATATTGTAAACTGGGTGGTTTATAAAGCAATAGAATTTTTTTTCCCTTCATAGTTCTGGAGGATGGAAAATCCAAAATCAAGATGCTGGCAGATCTGGTTTGCAGTGATAGCTCACTTCCTAGTTTATAGGTGGTTGTCTTGCTGTACCTTCACATGGTGAAGAAAGAGAGGGATTTCTTGTCTTGTGTCCTTTCTATAAGGGTATTAATCCCGATTGTGAGTGCTCCACCCTCATGACTAATTACCTCCCATAGGCCCGCCTCCTCTTACCATAACATTGGGGATTTAGGCCTCAGTATATAACTTTAGGGGTGGACATGAACATTCAGTTCACGGGAATACATGTCATAATCAGGAGTATACAGAGTTTATTGTTTTTTAGGTGATTGTATTTTTTCTCCCTTAGAAAAGAACAATAGTCCTGAAAAGCTAATTGTCATGTCCCTAAAAGAAACCATAGAAACAGCTAACACTGAAAAAAAAAAAAAAAAAGAAACAGCTAACACTGGAGTGCTGTGGATCAGACTCTGCTTTGTGCTTAGTACAGGTCCCATTTAAGCAACTGTGTATTATTATTAATAGAGAGAAACATAACTTTACAGCATTCCTCTCCAAGAAAAGTTATTCTAGTAATGTAAAGTGAAAGTACCCCTTTGTTTATGCCTCAGAGTACCCCTTTGTTTTCYAGGTGGTGCCCAGCTTAGAGCCATGCTCATCCTCAATAAAGGATTGCTGAATGAATGGAAATTTAATTGACTAAGTAGTAATAATGAAAGTAGATATGACAATAAGTCTCCTTTTAAATTGCTAATGGCTGTACACTACTGTTATCTCTGCTCTCTGTAGAAATCCCTGGATGAGGATAATCTGGGTCCTAAAAGGGTAGTTGCCCTGCAGAAGGAAGCCAAAGAATGGAGCAGAMGTGCTGAAGAAGCTGTTGTCTCTATTCAGGAGATCACTGTGAATTATTTTAAGGAAACAGTAAAAGCATTAGCAGGTGATAATAAAAAAAACATGCTATACTAAGCTGATTTTCATATTATTAAAAAAAAGTTGAGTGCCTCCTAATAATACCTGTGTTTTCTAGRTATTGGGAATTATATAAAATAACTATAAATAGACACTGCACAGTCTGGTGAAGGGAGAGAAATGTTCATTTCATTATATATTCATTCAGCACATGGAAAATGGCGGTGGCARTAAGAGTCAGGGAGAAGAGAAACACTGGGTTTTGAAAGCCTATGGGAGAGAAACTGGGTTTGATCAGGGTGGTCACCAAAGTCCTGTGAGAAGTGATGTGTGCCCAGACATCTGAAGGGCTCATGGAAATTGAGAGGGCAAAAGAGTGTGCTGGATGAAATAGCATTTGCAAAAGGCTCTCTGGCTTGATGGCACCTGGCAGATATGAGGGGCTTAAAGAAAGCCCAGGGGCTGGATGGCAGAGAGTGCAGTGGGAGGGAGAATGCTCGGCAGGAGGGGTCAGACACCAGAATGCTTGGGGGTGGAGCAAACAACTTTTGTCTGATCTTACACTGTTGTTGATCATAGCCCCAGACAGGAAACAACCTCATGTCTGTCAATCAGTTTGATAAGATATAATATATTTATAAAACAGAGAACTATATAGCTATTAAGCACGATTCTCTATATCTGTTTTAAAAATATTTTTTTAGTTATACATGGACACATAATATCTGTTTTAAAAATATTTTTTAGTTATACATGGACATACAATAATATTTTGTTTATTCATTTTTTTACATGGTGCTGAGGATCGAATCCAGTGCCTCACATGTGTGAGGCAAGCGCTCTGCCACCACGCCACAACCCCAGCCCTCTATATCTTTTTAAATGAACTATAAAAATCCCCCATATATTAAGTGAAAAAAAGCAATATAAAGCACAATGGTGATTGTAGTTTCTTTTAGTCAGATTATCTATATAGGCCTGTTTGTCTAGGTAGACACAGAAAAAGTCTGGACAGATATGTACCAAAGTGTAAGAAGCAATTGCTTCAGCTAGGTAGATCATGAGCTACTGTTTTTTTTTTTTTTCTTTTTAATGAAATACCTGGACTTTTCTATTAATGACCACRTATTACTTTTGTGATAATAAAAAATTATTAAAACAAAATTTCTTTAAAAAGAATGGTTTACATATAATAATGGGAAACAATAAACAAAGAATTAGCTCAGAATAAATTTTGCTCTTTTTAATGAGTTGTAATTTTATTTTATTAATTATAATCCAATAGGAATGCAGAAACAAATGGAACAGGATGGGARGAGATTTGGCCAGGCTGCCTGGGCCACAGCCACTCCCAGATTAGAAAAACTCAAGCTCATGCTAGCTCAAGAGACCCTGCAACTCATGAGAGCCAAGGAGCTGTGTTTAAATCACAAAAGAGCGCAAATTCAGAGAAAGGTAAGATAAAGATAAATATAACTTTGTTTTTAAAATATACTTTTATTTTAGATAGCACCTTTCTATCTGGGTATTGTTAATGCAGTTCTTTTCTTATTCCAAATATCATCTTTAGTAGATAAGACTTTAGAGACTTATGGAAGGTTGACCATAAACTTTCCCTTTGATCAAGATATTTCTGAGATATCTTATTGTAGGATTATAATGACACCTCAATATTGAAGTGGGCAGTTTTCTACTCTACAATCAACCCAGCAATATTTTCAGTTTTTTTTTTTTTTTTTTTTGGTAGCGCTAGAGACTGGACCCAGGGCTTCTTCACATGTGCTAAGCAGGTACTCTACCATTGAGCTACATCCCCAGCCCTTTTTATTTTTTATTTTGAGATCAGGTCTTGCTGAGTTGCTAAGGCTGGCCTTGAATTTGCAGTCTTCCTGTCTTACTTCCCTAGTCGCTGGGATTATAGGTATGTGCTATCATGCCTGACTCCAATATATCTTTAGAATAATTAAAGAGATGCTTCATCCAAGGATGAAGTTTTTTTTCTGTGATCTTAGGACTTTAAAACAGAACATTGTAAATACCTTTGTCATCCCAGACTTTTATAAGGAAATACCATAATCAGGTGGTTAATACAACACAAATTTATTTTTTACAGTTCTGGAGGCTGGAAGTCCAAGGTTAGGTGTCTTCAGATTCAGTGTCTGATGAGGGCCCTCTTTCTGGCTTGTGTACAGCCAACTTCTTGCTGTGTAGTCTCATGCATGGCCTTTCCTCAATGTGTGTCGGTGGARAGAGAAAGAAAGTACTAAAAGAGCACTAAACCCTGGGCTGGGGTTGTAGCTCAGTGGTAGAGTGCTTGTCTAGCACGTGTGAGGCCCTAGGTTCGATCCTCAGCACCACAAAAAAACAGATAAATAAAAGAAAGGTATTGTGTCCATTTACAACTAAAAACAACAACATCAACAACAAAACCATACAAATAAAGAGTGGAAAGATAGTCCATATAGTGCCTCATTGCTATTTATTTTCCTCAGAACCTAAACATTTTCATGTTTCAGAGATAAGATAAAGTGTTTATAATGAACGTTGAATAACGAAATTTTACCTGACTAGATGAAATGGAAAAATGTTTCTTTTTCCAGTGTGCTTTTTACACTTTAATACTAAATAAGTGAGAAAATACCCGGAATGCCTCTAAAGTTTACTTTAAAAAAAAAAAAATTTTTAGTTGTAGATGGACACAATACCTTTATTTATTTATTTATTTATAATATTTATTTTTAAGTTGTAGTTGGACACAATACTTTTATTTATTTATTTATTTATTTTACATGGTACTGAGGATCGAACCCAGTGCCTCACATATGTTAGGCAAGTGCTCTACCGCTGAGCTACAACCCAGACCTAAAGTTTGCTTTTAACACACTAATTATTTTATTTTAACTTGTTCTTCTTTTTTCAATAATAACAAGGTGGAAGATCTTCCAGAAYAAGAAAAAAATATACATGTTGTAGATGAATTAGAAATACAATATTATGAAATTCAATTGGAACTATATGAGGTTAAATTTGAGATATTAAAAAATGAAGAAATACTTCTTACTACACAGCTGAACTCTATTAAAAGACTTATAAAAGGTAAATTTATTTTATATAAGATCAAAATGTTTAAATACACACTTGAAAAATATAAAAATAGTATCACTTTTCTGTAACACCTGTTGAAATTTTTTGGTTTCCTTTCCGTGTTTTTTTATTAAAATAATATATTTATCCCACTGGCTCAGGAGGCTGAGGTGAGAGGATCCCAAATTCAAAGCCAACCTTAGCAACTTAGTGAGGCCCCAAGCAACTGAGTGAGACTTTATGTCTAAATAAAATATAAAAAAGGACTGGGGATGTGGCTCAGTGGTTAAGTGCCCCTGGGTTCAATACCTGGTACCACACACACACACACACACACACACACACACACACACACACACATATTCATTGTTAAAAAAGGAAGAACCTCAAGCCCATTTTTTTTTTTTTAATATTTATTTATTTTTTAGTTTTCGGCGGACACAATATCTTTGTTTGTWTGTGGTGCTGAGGATCGAACCCGGGCCGCACGCATGCCAGGCGAGCGCGCTACTGCTTGAGCCACATCCCCAGCCCTCAAGCCCATTTTTTTAGAGAATCTTAGTGGTATATTTGTAAACTTTGTAGCCTTTTTAATATGTCAGATGTACATAAATGAATATCAATTTTTAAGGTAAAACTACATAAACTATTCGGTAACATCTTTTTCATTTAATATATAATAACCATCTTTTCATTTSAGTAAGTAATAAAAACATCAGAATTTTAATGGCTGCATAGTATTCCATTGTATAGATGTACTGTGATTTCCAGTTTTTCACTGTCTCAATTAGCAGATTAGCAGAGAATTSTTTTTTACACATATATCTATATGTAGGATAAATTATTTCCTAGAAATAAATTTCGGAAGATAGAATTATTGGGTTAAGGACATTGTGTATTTTATATCTTAAAACATTTCTGTTAAAACAACATGATAACAATGTTTGCAAACTGGAAGTTCCTCCTGGTTTAATAATTTTCTTCATGTATACCCTGAACATACTATTTTCTGATTTCTAAATTGCATGCACACAGTGYCCCTCTAGAGATTATACAAAATGAAGCTCTTGTCAGCAGAGTATGAGAGTCTTTGCTTTTCCATACTCATGCCATCCTTTGACATTTTTGGTTACTTTGTAGAAAAAATGGCATCTTCTAATTTTAATTTATTTAATTATAAGTCATACCAAATACAATTTTTTAAAAAGTTTATGGGCCATTTATATTTATTTTATGAACTTCCCAGTCATGATCCTTGCTCATTTTCCTTCCAAATATTTATTTTCCATATTAAGGATATTATTCAATTGTTTGTCAAACAATTAGGAGTTTATTTTTCTCCTCATATTCTTAGTTCCAATCACTAATTTTAAAAACATTCTCCCCCACTGATTTGAATGGCTGTGTCTCATATCCAGAATCATTACATTGACTTTGAACTGTTTGTGAGTTTTTACTGTCCTATACTGACTTGTGAGTGTCTTCCCACCTTTTTAGCATCTGGTAGGGCAAGCACCCCTTATTAATCCTGCACAAGTTTTTTGACTATTTTCACTTCTTTATTCTTCCAGATAAACTTTATAATCACTGTGGCAAGTTAAATAAAACAAAACAAAAACAACCAAAAACCCACTGGAATTTTTGGGATGGTGCTTAAAATTAGACATTACTTTGGGGAGAACTGTAAATCTTTCCAATTTTGATTCTTCCCACCCAAGATCATGGTATGTCTCTTTATTTTTAAAAATCTTTTTTCCCCTAAAGGTCCTCCAAGTTTAATAATTTTTTCATGTAGATTCTGAACATATAGTTTAATCCTAAGTATTCAAAAATTTTTTCAGTACTTTCAAGTTATAAGCATTTTACATATTTAGGAAAAATGTCTATTTAAAAAAAAAGTTAATCTGGAAGAATGTAAACTAAATTATATATAATGTCTTCATCTGGGAATGGTACTCAGTAGTTTTGGGGAAAAGAAAAAAAATCACCTTTTATTTAATGCAATTCTGTAGGATTTGGATTTGTTATATATATTAAGCGTACATTTTAAAATATCAATATGTAATCAAGATTAAATAAAAATAAGGCAACTTTCTGGTGTGCTGCCAGTATAACTTTCCTGTCTGGAGGGCAGTTTGGCAAGAGGTATCAAGAGTTTTGAATATTTGTCAGTTAAGGAAGTGCTAGGCAAATGCTCTACCCCTTATTACTCTATTTCTTCATAAGTTTTATGACTATAATATACACAAAGATTTACRCACAGAGATGTTCATCACAGAAGTAGATAATAATGGAATGATAAAATGTTCTTACAATAGAGAATATCTTAAATTAGAGAAAACTATGTTGCCATTAAAATTTTATTTCTAACACATGGARAATGTTTTCTTAGAACTCTGTTGACATGTCTAAATACATGTGGTATGTGTATATATGTACATAAATGGTAATAGTGATTTTCCTCCATAATAAAATTATAAGTAATCTTTGTTAACATTAAAAAACTATGCATTATTTTTTTAAACTTAGTGCCTCCCTGTTGCTGAGGCTGGTTTTGTTTTGTTTTGTTTTGTTTTGGGGTGATGCTGGGGATTGAACCCAAGGCCTTGTGCATGCGAGGCAGGCACTCTACCAACTGAGCTATATCCCTAGCCCCTATGCATTATTTTTTTATAGCAAAATATGTTTCAAGAAAATTATTAATACATTTTTAGAGAAACAGGATGAAGTTGTCTATTAYGACCCGTGTGAAAGTCCAGAGGAACTTAAAGGTATGGATCATGTAGCCGACCTGCAACATGGTGGGAACTTGGAGGTGAAAGAACTCAGCTTGCAGTGCCAGAAGCTGGAGGCCAAACGGGGCAGGATCTGTGCCAGGAGAGCCTCGCTCAGGAACAGAAAGGTAGGTACCCTAGCTGGATTTTTCTCTTTTCTTCCAGGGATTTCTTATTTTTTTTAATTTTTATTTTATTTTATTTTATTGTTGGTCGTTCAAAACATTACATAGTTCTTAATACATCATATTTCACAGTTTGATTCAAGTGGGTTATGAACTCCCAATTTTACCCCGTATAC